GCCGGGGCATATCTCCCCACATCTCCCCACATCTCCCCACACCCGGCAAAGACTCCCGAGACTTCCCCACACCTCCCCACACCACCCCACAAAACCGGCTCCTCCGCCCCCCCGTGCTCTCGCAGGGCGGTCGCGCGCCGGATCGGCACCACGTACGCGTACGACTTCCTCGGCCTCTTCGAGAAGGGCGTCGTCAAGGAGTGGCAGGCCGCCATCGCCGACGGCACCCACCCGGCGATGCCGACCAACCTGCTCGAGGCGGAGGAGCTGTTGCTCGACGAGGCGGGCGCGCTCGCCAAGGGCTCGCGGCTCGTCGGCGAGAACAAGGTTGGCATGGTCGGCTGGCACGTGACGCTCAAGACGCCTCAGTTCCCCGAGGGGCGGCCGCTCGTCATCGTCGCCAACGACTGCACCGTCCAGTCCGGCTCCTTTGGCGTCGCCGAGGACGACTTCTTCGACGCCGTCTCCAAGTACGCGCGCGCGCGCGGGCTGCCGCGGCTGCACATCGCCTCAAACTCGGGTGCGCGCATCGGCCTGGCCGAGGAGCTCAAGCCGTACTTCAAGGTGGCCTGGAACGACCCGATGGACGTGGCCAAGGGGTACAAGTACCTCTACTTCACCGAGGAGGACGCCAACCGCTTCACGCCCGGCACCGACTTCCACGGCGAGTACATCACCGAGGGCGGCGAGAAGCGGTACAAGCTGGACGACATCGTCGGCCAGAAGGACGGGCTCGGCGTCGAGAATCTGCGCGGCTCGGGCATGATCGCCGGCGAGACGTCGGCCGCGTACGCCGAGACGTTCACGCTCTCGTACGTCACGGGCCGCTCGGTCGGCATCGGCGCCTACCTCAACCGGCTCGCCCAGACACTTCCTAGACACTTCCTAGACGCTTCCTAGCCGTGAGTAGGCGCCTACATCAACCGGCTCGCCCAGCGCGTCATCCAGATGCAAAACGGGCCGCTGCTGCTCACCGGCTTCGGCGCGCTCAACAAGCTGCTCGGCAAGGAGGTTTACACGTCGCAGGACCAGCTCGGCGGCCCGCAGATCATGCTGCCAAACGGCGTCGCCCACCAGCTCGCCATCGACGACCAGGACGGCGTCGAGAAGGTGCTGCGCTGGCTCTCGTACGTGCCAAAGACGGCGTCGGACTCGGCCTTCGCCGCGCCCGCCGCCGACCCGATTGACCGGCCGATCGGCTTCCTGCCGACCAAGACGCCGTACGACCCGCGCCACATGCTCGCCGGCACCGTCTCGGCCGACGGCACCTGGCTCTCCGGCTTCTTCGACCAGGCGCGGCCGGCCGCGCCTCGCGGCGGCGCAGGAGCCTTCCCTGACCCTCCCCTGACCCCCTGCCCACCTGACACCCTCCCCACAGGGCTCCTTCACCGAGTACCTCGCCGACTGGGGCAAGTCGGTCGTGGTCGGCCGCGCGCGCCTCGGCGGCGTGCCGATGGGCGTCATCGCGGTCGAGACGCGCCTCGTCGAGCAGCGCATCCCCGCCGACCCCGCCAACCCCGCCTCGCGCGAGACGGTCCTCGCGCAGGCGGGGCAGGTCTGGTACCCCGACTCGGCCTACAAGACGGCGCAGGCGATCCAGGACTTCAACTCGGCGGAGAACCTGCCGCTCATGGTGTTTGCCAACTGGCGCGGCTTCTCGGGCGGCACCCGCGACATGTTTGGCGAGATCCTCAAGTTCGGCTCGTACATCGTCGACAACCTCCGCACGTACAAGCACCCCGTCTTTGCGTACATTCCTCCTAGAAGCGGAATACGTGTTCATGTATCCCAACCAGCGCCCGAGAGGACACGCATTCCGCCGTATTCGACCGTACTCCGCTGTGTTCACTGTATTCTTCTCCGTTGTGTTCACGCGGTGCTCTGAAGACGCTGCACAATGCCGTACTCCTGCCCCGATATTCAACACGTAGGTACATCCCTCCGTGCGGCGAGCTGCGCGGCGGCGCGCGGGCCTAGAAGCGGAATCTCTCCCCATCTCTCCCCATATCTCGGGCCTAGAAGCGGACCGCGGATTCTCGTCTGTCAACTATTCGACTAGAGGACACGTATTCAACTGCACTCGACCGTGCTCGGCCGTATTCGGTCGTCTAACTACGCTGCAGAGCACGGTCTGCACGCCCTCATGCCGGCGTCTTCTCAACGCAGGCGCGTGGGTCGTCATCGACCCGACGATCAACGAGGAGATGATGGAGATGTACGCGGACGCCGACGCGCGCGGCGGCATCCTCGAGCCGCCCGGCATCTGCGAGGTCAAGTTCCGCAAGCCCGACCTCCTCAAGACGATGCACCGGCTCGACGCCAAGCTGCAGGCGCTCAGCAGCGAGCTGAAGATCGTCGAGGAGTCGCCGGGCTCGGAGTCGGAGGCGCAGTCGCTGCGCTCCGCCATCCAGGCGCGCGAGAACACGCTGCTCCCGCTCTACGCGCAGATCTCGTATGAGTTTGCCGACTTGCACGACCGGCCTGGCCGCATGCTGGCCAAGGGCGTCGTCCGCGACGTGGTCGACTGGCCCAACGCGCGCGAGTACTTTGCGTGGCGCGTGCGCAGGCGGCTGGCGCAGGACGGCCTCGTCAAGGCGCTCAAGGGGGCGGACGCGAACCTCGCCCACGCCGACGCCGTCGCCAAGCTCGCCGACATGATGGGCGGCGACTGGGAGGACGACCGCGCCGTGCTAGGCTGGTTCGACTCGGCAAAGTCGCAGATCGACGAGCTGGTGCAGCAGACGCGCGACGCGGCCATCCAGAAGACCGTCGCCGACCTCGTGGACGGCCTCTCGGCGGAGGCCAAGGCCGCGCTCCTCAAGTCGCTCTAGGCACCACCCGCCTCCACCTAGCGCCGAAGGAGACGCTTCGGCGGCTGCGCCGTGGGCCGGTTCGGCGCCCCATGTACAGCGCATGGCGGGCGCCCGCTGCAGCTCTACAGGTCGCTCGAGGGTAGGGACTGAGAAATCCATGATGCATGCCCGTTTGTGAACAAGACGCCGCGGTGGTGGTCTTTTGGGGATGCGTACTTCGGTTCGTATAGGGTGTGTCTGCTCCGTGCGTCCCCTCTCTCTGACCACTAAGCACTATGGTTGTCTCATATTCAGAGCGGTGTTGGGGTAACGTATCTCGAGAGGTACACTGTAGCACGATGCTTGGTGTTGGTCGTGTTGGTAACAGAAAAAATGTTCTCCACACTAGTCTCTAGTGGACGAGGTGCTCTTATGTTCGTCCCGGGCCGGGGAGCGGGACGATCGCCTTTGGCCACGCGGCGGGATGGACCAACGCTACGGAGTCGGCTTACGCGAACACCCACGCTTGGGCAGGGGGTGAAGAGGACCCCCTCCGCCCGCCGAGATGCCGCCAACCGGGAGTGCTCCGCCGCCACGCCCGACTAATGAACCCTCGGCACGTCAGAGTGCTCCTCTTCGCGCCGAGGAGGGACGACGTGGCCAGGACGGTGGGCACCGAGGCGCTGCGGCGGCTTGCATTCGTGGCGGGCGGCACGGGGGGGCGGGGGTCCGGCGCACCGACGATGTGGGCCCCCACGTGGTATGGGGGCGGGGTCCGGCGGACGCTGGCGTGGACTGCGCAGACATGCTGCGGGGCGGTAGACTTCATGGCACCATGGAGGGTGGTGCGCTGGCAGCCCGACTCCCTGTCATTCCTACCTTGGTCAGACAAGGCTGTGGGGGACGGGGAGGAAGCAAAAGACGCGGTGGCAACGCTGCGAGTGTTACATGAGCTTGCTGGAGAGGCCCCGGAGGAGGCCGTCCCCGACGGAGCGGTGCCGGCCGCTCTCCCCCGATTCCTGCGACTGGTGGGAATGGCGGAGGCGGAGATGGCGGGGGCGCTGCTCGGGATGGAAGGAGGCGCCCTGAGGATGGTGGCTCGAGTGGCCAAACAGCGGGCAATACAGGTGACGCGCCACTGGCAAGCGGTGGGGATCCCTCTCGAGTCGCTCGGGACGGAGCGCTTCCCCACGCTAGCCGCCTGTCATGGGTGCGGCGGTAAGTTTCGCACGCTGTTCCACGTGAGAAGCCAGAAGACGGACCTGCGGCTACGGAAGTGGTGGAGGGGGTGGTTAGCGCCATCCTAGAACGGATCTCTGAGCGGGTGGAAGGGGAAGCGGAGGAGGGGATGAGGACGCGCCTGTGCCACGCCATGCAGGGACAGGGAGTGTTTGTGTGCTTTTGTTGTGCAGCTCCTGTGGTCCGTGAGAAGAGGAGGCAAGGAGACGGGTTGGCGGCGAGGGGGGAGCGACCACCGCAACGGGCGAGCGCATCCGGGGCCGGGGCTACGGCTGTGGATCGGCCTCCCCCGGCGCGGATCTTGCCAAAAAGAGCACGGGGCAGCCCGGAGAGGTTCGTGCCGGCAGCAGACAGGGCAAGACAACGGGAGGGTGCAATCCGAGAGGCCGAGATGGATCGAGCGGCCGCGGCGGCGGGCGAGAAGGCGGTCCTGGCGGAGCTTAGGGCGATCGGTCTGTCGCTCGCGGCCAGCACCGGCGTTCTCAGGCCAGTACAGACGCGGGAAGTGCGGAGCCTGGCAAGACGACTGGTTGGCTCGACAGACCTTCTTGGACAGGTTTTCCGGTGGGAGGGGGAGGACTACCTCGTCAACGACATCGCACCGGGACCGACACAGTCGGGGGGGCAGGCGATGAAGGCGTACGCCTGGTGCTGTGTGAAGAGGCGGGTGGCATCGGCGGGCCCGCTATCCGAACACAACTCGGCCTTTGATATCCGGTCAGTGTGGGACCGAATCGAGAGGGACCGGGCGAGGGGGGAGGCGACGCGACTACTGCGCAGTCTACGGCCTGATGCGGAGCGGGGGGAGGGAGAGGCGGAGCCGTCGGCGAATCCGGGCCCTGCCCCCCCCCCTTCCCGAGGGGAGACGAGAGCTAGCCCCCCCCCCCAAGAGCGGGGTGGACGGCCGACGCGTGGAACCACGGCTGGAACGACCGCAGAGGCAGGGGGCCGCCCCCGAGGCCCCGCTCCAGGCGTTGCGGCGGCCGGCACCGCCACCATGCCCGCCCCCACCACCACCGCCTCCGCCCCCGTGGCTGGAGCGGCCGCTGAGTCAAGGGGCCGCCACTGAGGCTCCACACCAGGCGGTGCGGCCGCCAGTGCCGCCACCGTTTCCGCCACCCACACTCCCACCTCCGCCCCCGCCGCTGGAACGGCTGCAGGGTCGTGGGGCCGCCCCAGCGGCTCCACACCAGGCGTTTGGGCCGCGAGGGCCGCCACCGTACCCGCCACCCCTGCCACCGCCTCCACCCCCGCCGCCGGCGGGGCCGCCACCGTATGGACCCGCTCGGAATGACCTGGGGGATCCGGAACCGCCCCGCCGGAGGCTGGAATACCCGGGAGGAGGAGCTGGGGGAGGGGAGTTGCCGCAATACGATAACGGGCCCGCCGGCGAGCCGGAAGGCCGAAGCCGGAGGGCCCCAGGGGGGGCTTGGGGTCAGTTATCGGAGGAGGGGAGAGATGAACTGACGCGGCCTCTGCGAGTGGAGTCGGGACGTACGAGCTCACCGGGGGGAGACCCGTCGCAGTGGCAGCCGGGCCACCGTGATCTTCGACAGGGAGGGCCACGCCTCCCCGAGCCTGAGGAGGAGCCGGCGGAGGGGGGGGGCGAGCCGAGGACGATAGAGAGGCCGCGGGTGCGGGCGCGACTCGTCGACCAGGGAGAGCGGGCCCGTCCTCCCTGGGAGGGGAGGCGACACGACCCAATGCCGCCGTCCTCGCCCGGGGAGACCCCGGCCGGGCCGTCGACGCTCTCGGAGGCTGCGGTACCAGTCGAAGGCGAAGCGGAGTCGAGGCCACAGCCGAGGAAGAGGCATCAGAAACGACTGCAGAGGCAGTCTGGTAACGCCCGGAAGGCGAGCAAGGGACCGGGACGAGCCGAGGGCTCGCCCCGACAGGCGAAGGAAGGGACTCTGGGACCGGAGTCGGGCGGGCGCACATGAGGCGTGTCCGTGTACGTACGTGGAGTACAGTGTTGTGTGTCCGTTAGCTCCGAGTAGAGGGGGCGTTCTGCAGTTAAGGGGAAACCCGGTACACGGAACTAACCCTCGGAGACCCGTGTTTACTTTACGGCCCTTTCCCTGCGAACGCGCACCCCCGGGGCTAGGGCTCTCTAGCCCGTAACCCGATACCGATCATCCGGCCCGCTGGGTGCGCTCCTCAGCTCCCCGGCCCTGGATGTGAGGTTGATGACTGCACTCCAAGTGCTCCAAGTACACTGAGCCACTCTTGGGGACTAGGCACTAGCTTGGGGACCCCTAGGCTTAAGGTGGTTCTTGAGTTGCGAAGCCGGCCGCTTCTCTCAAAGTCGCATGCTGGCGGCCGCCCGACGCGGCCCATCAGCCAGCCCTCACGGCCCGGGCATGCACCCGCACACCCTCCTCTCGCGCATGCCGATGCGCTCAGTCGATGTGCGGTCGTGGTGCTGCAACTCTGCAGCGCTGCGACCGCACCGGTATCCCGCGTCGCCGCCTTCGGTCCTGCCGCTCCCGCCAGCTCCGCTGCCAGCCGACGCGGCGGTACGCGCGCTCTCCGGATCCCGTCCGAGGGGCGGAGGCTCGAGCGTTCGTCCCGGGCGAGCCGCCAGACTCGAAGACGGCACCCCTACCCGCGTCCCCATCCTTAGCTTCTGTTCTTTCCTCCCCGTGAGCCGTCTCGGTCGCGAGACCGCCGAGTGTGTGCCCTCGTGAGTCGTGAGTCCGTCGGGTACTTTTCGCGTATAAAAATCGGGTGCGCGGGCCTTCCCATCTGGTGCTACCAACGGCCTGGCGGCCTCGGATCCGGCCTCGCAGCTCGACGCGAGCGCCAAGGTGGACCTGTCTCCGGCCTCTCGCGAGCCCCTCTCGGAGCCGTGAGAGGGGGCAAAGCCGTTATGGAGAGCGCGAGAGCGAGCGCCAAGAGGGCCCAGATTCTGAGCAGCAGCCCGCCTTGTCATGGGCCCACTTGCCGACGTGCGTCCAGCTTCCACTATAGGACGAACGCCGAAGTTTGCTCTCCGACGCCGTGCCGAGCGAAACCTTTTCCTTCGAAGCTCAGCGTCGTAGCCGGGCGAGCGGAATAGGGCAGCCCTAGAGAGCACCTTGAGGCCGTTCAATAGAGCCCGTACTATAGTCGAGAGTCGCTCGCCGGCCGGCGCAGTGCTGCTCTGACCGCTCCGCCGGGCCCCCTCCGGGCCGCCGCCGCGGAGACGTGCACATAGGCAAGTTGGTATTTTCATACATGAACTTCAAAATACCATTTGCTAATCTAATTCTATTCATCACGACTCGCCAGAAACACCCCCACACTATGGGGTCATTGTGTAGCCCCGCTTAGAAGGAAAAGGTTTTACTGCAAGGTGTCCGTGTGTATGGCTCGTAGTCGGCCGTCCATGTTGTGGCTTCTCTCACACAGTACATACGAAAACAATCGCGGCTCGGAGCTCGGCGGCATATGTCAGCGCGTTTTTGCTCGGAAATTTTACAACAGAGCTCCCTCCGAGCTCCATGCGGCAAAAAGAATTCGGTCACCCCGCGTCATGAGCGGCGCCGGCGGCCCAGCCCTGCTGCCCGACCTGGCACGGGGCGATCTGGGCTCGCTGCTCGCCCTCCTCTCCGGGCGACAGACACGCGGCAGGCTCGACGCGCGGCACCCGACCGAGAAGCAAGACACGCTGCTCACCTGGGCCGCTCGTCACGGGCAAGCGCCGAGGCGGTGCGGCTGCTGCTCGAGGGCGGCGCGAGCGTTGGGGCGGCTGACGGGGACGCCGCCTCCGCTCTCTTCCTCGCGTGCGAGAGGGGCCACCTCGAGTGCGTCCGGCTGTTCCTCGAGGCCAATGCGGCGGTCGGCCAAGCCCAGGCAGAACGGCGCCACGCCGCTGCTCATTGCAAGCCAGGAGGGTGAGCTCAGCTGCGCCCGGCTGCTGCTCGAGGCGGGCGCGGTGGTCAATCAGGCCGATGAGGACGGCGCTACGCCGCTGTTCATGGCGTGCCAGGAGGGCCACCTCGAGTGCGTCCAGCTGCTTCTCAAGGCTGGCGCGGCGGTCAAACCTGCCGCTCCGCGCGGCGCGCTGAGGGCAGCCGAGGTTGAGGTCGACCGCCACCACGCCGCGGCAGCGCTCGGCCTGCCTCGCAGCGTCGAGCAGCGTCTGCGGGTCGTTGCCCGAAAAGTGGGCGACCAGCGGGCAGTCGTCGGCTGGCGCTCCAGCAGGGGACGGCAAACTCCTCGGACCGGATCATCGGCGTGTAGCATAGCTGCGCGCTGTGCCGCCGAGCGAGGAGCCGGAAAGCCAGCTCGCTGCCGACATCGGGGCGAGGATAAGCCGATGCGGCGGCAACGGCTGGCGCGGCGGAGGCAGCGCGGCGGAGGTGGTCAACCCCCTGCTGAAAAACGCAAAAAGAATTTCCCGCAAAAGAAATCAATCTGCGACGCCGAAGCGTTTCTCAAGACTCTAATCCCATGCACGTACGTCCCCCTGGCCGACTCCGCTCTCAGAGCCCACTCACATCTTGAGCTTGAACCCTTCCCGCCCGCTCACCGCATCCTGAATCGCTTTCTTCCCCTCTTTGCTGAAATTGTTGCCTTGGAGGTCGATGCTCGTCAGCACCCCGTTGCCGCGCAGCGCCTCGGCGATCGCAGTCGCGCCGGTGGGGCCCAAATTGGTGTACTCGAGGTTGATGCTTTTCAGCACCTCATTGCCTGAAACCAGCGACGCGATCACGATAGCCGAGACGGGTCCGAGGCTCTTGCGCGAGAGGTCGAGGGAGGTCACCGAATCGGTGCCACGCAGCTTTGGCAGGTCGAGCTGGTGGCCGTCGAGGTTGAGTGTTTTCAGCACCCCGTTGACGCGCAGCGCCTCGACGATCGCAGCGGCGCCCCCGTTGCGGATCTGGTTGTGGCCGAGGTTGAGGTCGGTGAGCACCCCGTTGCCCCGCAGAGCGTCTGCGATTGCGGTGGCGCCTGTGTCGCCGATGCTGTTGCCCCAGAGGTTGAGGTATTTCAGCACCCCATTGACCGCAAGCGCCTCGCCGATTGCCTTTGCGCCCTCTGCGCCGATGCTGTTACCATGGAGGTTCAAGTTGGTCAGCACCGCGTTGACTCGAAGAGCGGATGCTAGCGCCTTGGCGCCCTCGTCGCCGATGCCATTGCCCCGGAGGCTCAGATAGGTCAGCACCCCGTTGACCGAAACCCCCGCCGCGACGACCGCAGCCGATGCGGGTCCGAGGAACTTCGACGACAATTCGAGCGACGGCACCGCCTCGCGCCCGTTGAGCTGCAGCGGGTTGAGCGGCATCGCCTTAATCTCGCCCACGCTCAGCGCGACGAGCGTGTGCGTCTTCCGCACCGCGCCGAGCAGCGCCTCCCGCACGCGGCCGCACACCTTGCCCCAGTCGAGCGTCAGCGACGTCAGCGCCGACGGCTCCGACTCCATCCACGCGACCACTGTTCCCACCATCCCGTCATCGACCAGCTTCAGTTTGCCGTCCTCCTCGTCCTCGGAGTCGCGAGTCACGCCCGTGCTCACAACCATCTCGCGCCCCTGGTAGATCACCTTCGCCCCGACCTCCTTGGACTCGCCCTCGACCTCGCTCGCCTTGATCCAGCCGGTAGTCCCAAGGGGGAACCCCGTCAAATCGACGCCGCTGGCCTGCAGCGGCAGTACCGTATCCATCGCCGCGGCAAGCCCGCTGCCGCCGCCGTGCTGCATCGTCGCCGCGAGCACCGCCGCGCGCTTCACCTTGAGCGCGTCGCCGACCGCCGCTTGGAAGCGCAGGTCGTTGTTGTACGCCTCAGCCTCGTCGCCGAGCGGCGCCTCGAGCCGCTCGTCCGCCGCACCGGCGTCCGCGCATCGCTCGAGGCCGAGATGCACGCGAACTAGTTGCGACGCCTCCTCCGCTGCCTCCCCAGCCACCCCCCGGCGCACCTCCGCCGCCATCTGCGCGCCCATGTCGGTGAGCAGCTTCTTGCGCTTGCCCGCCACCTGCTCGAGCGTGAGCGAGGCCATGTTGATGGAGAAGCTGCTCTGGATGACGATCGTGCTGCCCTCCACGCCCGTCGAACGCACCTGCAGGTGTCGAGAAGGGGCAGGCGATGAAGGAGAAGGCGGAGGAGGGAGGTGGAGCGAGGTTGACGCACCTGCAGGCCCATGAGCGGCGGCAGCAGCGTCTCCCTCTCGTGCGGGTACTGCGAGAGCCACGCAATGTCGGCGCCGCGGTCGATCATGCCCATCCCGAGCTCGAGCACCGTCGACGCCTTGCCCTCCGCGTAGTGCACCGCCTGCGCGCGGTCGGTGGTGGTCGACGAGAAGCCGTACTCGACGCCGCCGCGGAAGCCCAGCGCGTCCGGCTTGAAGAAGGCTTCCGGGAGCGTGGCGCCCGCCCAGCCGCGGTAGAGCGGCGTGATCTTGGTCAGCGGCGACAGCTTGACAATGATCGAGTTGATCGCGTGGATGGTGGTCGTGTACTTGTTGTTCCACGTCCAGCGCACCGCGGCCGGCTCGCCTTTGCCCGCCGCCGTCGCAACCCACTCGCCGAGGTGAAGCCAGCCGCACTTCTTCTGCAGAAAGGGCACCTCCTCCATCGAGGCGTACACCAGCCGCACAGCGCCGTCGGCGCCGAGCGCCGCGAAGAAGCGAAGGACGGCGTTGTACTTCTCGTACATCGGCCCCGTGTACAGCCGGCCGGCGACGAGCTCCTCCTTGGTGAGCGGCGCCTGCCCCGCCGCCTCGAGCCTCGGGTTCATCTCGTCCGCCATCTTCGCCTCGTAGACCGGGAGCGGCTCCGGCTTGCGGCACCACTCGGAGTGGGCCGTGCGGAAGTCGCCGCCGCGCTCGGCGTAGCGGCCGTCCTGGTCCTCGACAGGCGCGACGACAAACTCCCACTCCAGCTTGGAGGTCGCGCCCTTGATGCCGTTGGAGGTGTCGAACGGCACGTCCGCATCCTTCTCGCCGCAGTGCTCCGTCTCCATGGCCTTGAAGAGCGAGCCGTCCACCATGAGCGGCGCCCCGACGAGCGCCTCGAGGCCTACACGCGGGACGGGTCGCGGACCTTCGGGTGAGTATGTGTACGGAGGGCGGGGCGGTGAAGGTGGTGGTGAGCGGGGGGCGGAGGCGAGGGACACTGAGAGAGGCGGCGTGACGGTGACGGGCGGAGGAGAGGGTGGCGGGGGGTCAGGCGGAGCCGATGTCGGTAGTGGAGAAGGGGCAGAGCGGGGGGCGGAGGCGGAGGAAGCGGCGCAGGAGGGG